TCCACAAAGTCCATGGTGTTCTGTATGTGGTGTTCTGAGCTGCCAACTTTTTTTGAATGTCCAGAGGACCAGATTGAACTTTTTTGGATTTTTCTACCTGGATTATTGAGCATGCATCAGGATATAGTAATGGACTGTTTTGAAGACTTGAATTCATGCTTAAAGAAACTGTGTTTTATTTTGATATGTTCTGTATTTTCCTTCCTTAGGACCACAAAAGGTAATTAGATATTGGCTACATCCAGGGCTTAATTTGTAAACCGATCAATGCTGGAACGCAAATAGCGGGTGGACCGGCTGCAGGGTGGGGGGCTCCTGGGGAATGTGTATGTTTAGGCCTGTCACGATAACAAATTTTGCTGGGCGATTAATTGTCTCAGAAATTATTGCGATAAACGATAATATTGTTTGAAATTTAACAATAATTAATTGTCAAATTTTAGAATGATTTGTTTGGAGTGTAGTACTTTTTTTGACCACCTGATGGCAGTATAAGACTGTTTGAACCAAAGGATGGATAGATGAGCAGAGTGTCTCTTTAAGAAAAATGGGACGGAGGGCTCTTGACATGACATGGTTTAGCATAGCATTTTTCACACGAAGCTTTTAATAAAAACTCAGTAAACAAGTTCTCAGGTTCTTTTTGCAGAGAAAAACAACTTTTTACACAAAGGCACGGGTTTCAACCGTGAATTTTGGCACTTCGACAAGACAGAGGTTTAGAGGTCGGCCTGTTAGCTTAGCTCGTAGCTTAGCTTCTCAGCTTAGCTGCTTTTAACGATCCAAAAACGTGATTTTGTACGGTTAAAATAGATTTGAAAGAGAAAGGGAGGGATACGATGCAAGAAAGGAAACGATAAAGCCGATAAATGAAAACGAGGTTGATAATTTTCATTCATCATGCGATTAATTGATTTATTGTTTATCGCGACAGGCCTACTCACAAGACAAGAACCTGACGAGTTGTTTAATGACATCAAATATATTTTGTTAGCAACGAATAGAGTCCTAACATTTATTAAACATTACTTCTGTATTTACCAAAAAAAAATCTAAATTGTGTTTTGACAAACATTTATAACATGAAAACATTTTGCCAATGTGGAAATGGAAAAAAGGAGCAGATATCGCTCTTGCTTTGAGCTTTTACTCTTTGTTGCATGCGTGTTGTGGGTGACAAGCGTCCAGAGCACCATAAAAACAGCAGCGGAGGTGTTGGAGTTATTTATTTATTGTCTCAGCAGCAAAAGGGAGTGACACGTTCAAGCATGGCTCCCAAAACAACAAGGCCATCATATTTGTTCATAGTTGGCAGAGGACCTTAAACTGTTGGAAAACCCCTAACACTATGCTCATGATATCCTGATGCATGCTCAATAATCCAGGTAGAAAAATCTAAAAAAGTTAAACCTGGACCAGATTTAACTTTTTTAGATTATGCTCATGAGCACCGAACAAACTCGATTGACTGAATTTTATTTAATTTTTTTGTTTATTTTGTTTCTTCTCTTTAATCTTTATATATTTTTGCCCCTTTATTTTCTCTGTTGGATATATAGTAAGCCTGAGAGTTTCCGGATCCAAGCAAACGATTGCCGGAACGCACCCTGACAAAATAAGAGAGTTCCCGTATCTTGCAAGATCCTGTTCAAATTAAGCACGGACTACATCTGGCAACCGCCTCTTTTGGTGCGTTCTGTTATTGTGCATGGCCCTAAATAAATAACGTTAAACCTAACCCATAAGCTAAAGACTAATCTGACTGTTACCTTTTTAAGACTTGTCCAAAAACAATCTTTTTATTTGCTGTTTCAAAACATATTCTTGTGAATATATAATTTCTGTCATTAGAACTTTACACCAGCGAGAGTAACATGTGGGAACATGTCCCCACAGAGACAGAGTCGAAGGTAAAAGAAGATACGCACATCAGTGAAGCGCTCCAACCCTGTGGATGTCCTGACTGGACTTTTGTCAAATGAACAAACACAAAACATGCTGCAGAACAGAACAGAGAGAAGTGCCAACACAAAAACATTGTCATCCTATATGTAGCTGGAGTATCTGAAAAACAGAAGGATTCTCTCCAAACACAACATCCCAGTATATTTTA